CTTAGTTTATGTTATGACTATTTGCAATCCTAGGTTTGATGCATGGGTGCTAGAATTGACATATTGGCTTGGTAGACCTGTTGCTGCAGTGAGTTGTCACAGTAATCATTCATTGAAGATCATTAAAGATGATCTCATCTAGCACCCTTACCTGCCTTGCCTAATCCACGAGTGTTCAACCCTTCATATGGGTATGGTCTCTCATGGGGGTTTGACGGAAATGCCACATGGATAGAATGAAGTGGAGTGAGGATTTGGGTTCTCATGGGATGTGGTCGCCACGTAGCCTAGTTGGGACCTCATTGGAAGACATGTAATAGATATGTCACTACTTTTTTTGGTATAATGGCCACGTAAGATCGCCACTTGCAACATCTTCAAATTTGTTTGTTTATACAAATAGAATGAGATGTAGTGACTAATGGTGTGAATATCAATATCAATAATTTGATTTATGCTGCGTAAATGTGATATATTGGGTAGAGATAAATATATATCAATAATTGAGTTGGAATCAAATTGTCCTTGGAGAGACGCTGAAACCATTTAATTGAAAGTTAGTGCACACATAAAGGAGTATGATTAAAATATAAAGATTAACATGTAATTGTTGGACGATTTAATTGACATATCCCAAAAAAACTGTTATATTCCTTCTCGAGGAACTTGATGAATATTAGTGGAAAATAATATAATGTTTACTATTTATAGTTCAATGAAAAAATATTTGAAACGATATAGAAAAATTTTAGTTGCCATTTTAAATAAATGTCCATATTATTGCGCAATTCAGAAATCATCCACAATGAAGATAGGAACCTATCATGAGGCTAAGATTCCATGTATTGTGGTGGCATGTGCATGTAGTTCAAGGATCGTATATAACTTTGTTGACACATAAAAACGTATGGTCCAATTAGATGCCCAAGAAGTGAAACCCCAAATAAGATATTCGAAGAATAGGCTTAAGGAAAACCATACAAAAGATCCAAGACAGGGTTGTGCAATGTCTTCTAAGATTTGAATAGTAATTTAAGTTTGTCCATCAGATTGAGGATGATAGGAAATGCTGAAATTCAACTTTGTTCCCATAGCTTCTTGCATGATCTTCCAAATTTCGAAAGTAGACCTTGGATCTCGATCTCATACGATAGATGTTGGAACTCCATGCAGACTAACAATTTCCTTAACATATAATTGAACAAATTGAACCCATGTTGTTGGCACTTTTCTGTCCATTTTGAGGAGGCATTAGTGTTTGATGTCTACCAAGATCATGTAGCGCTCTCATCAGATCCCTGAACATAGTTGATTGGTCTTGTTATCCTTCCATTTCCTTTGAATCAAAAAAATTTAAATTTTTTCTTAAAAATATTGGACAACGCAATAACTCAATATGTTCAAAGGGAAGTGTGAATCTTATTAATAATACTTCCTGTAACTAGGATATACAATAGTTCGACTAAATTTAAATTCCAATAACATAAAGGAAAAAATCACAGAACAAATGAATATAATCTAAGTTTTTAATTCCTATGAATTCTGCAAATCTTCATTGGCGGAGCTTCATCTTCAGAGGAGTCTTCTGCCTCAGGCCCGGATTCTATGTCTATCTCAACCAGTAACTCCTGTTCATTCTCATGATCATTCTCTAACTCCAAACCAAAATCATCCTCATGCTCCCATTCGGGATCTTCTTCTGGGTCCAATTCAAATTGAGATTCTGGCTCGGGTTCGGCAACATGCTCATGCACTATCTCCGATTGAGATTCTAAGCTCTCACTCCACTTATCTAGAAAGGTCTAACAATAAATGCCGAACTTAATCATATCTGGATGCTCTGGAGAGTTACCTTATAGCATCTCATCTCTAATCATAATTCTCATATCTCCACATTAAGGTGAAAGTGAGTGTATGAGATTATTCATAGCCTCAATATGCGTAATCTCCAATCCTGCATTCACAACTGCCATACATCTCTCATAGATGTCTTGTACGTATTCGACAAGCGGACGAGTTGGGTCACTCGCGTAATTCTCATAGGACTGTATGATGAACATACGATTTAGCGATGTTCTACAAACTGTGGTCTTTCTAGCGATCTGATATGTTCTAACCATTTATGTCGCATAAGTGTCCAATTATTTTTTATCTTTGTTAATGATATCACATAATACATTATGCTCATGTGGTTTTAATATAAAAGCTAATCATCATACTTTCTTGTATATTAAAACAAAATAATAACATGCATAACATATTTTATTCTATACATTAAGTCATAATCAATTTCATGAATTCAAGTTTAAATGATACATAAATCATGCTTAAAATAAAATGAAACATATCATTTCATACATACCTTGGGTTCATCGGACGGTGTAGATTGAAAAACGCTAAATGCCACGGGTCTTATTTTAACACTCGTTTAATAAAAATCTCATAATGTATAAACAAAATAAAAGAGCAAGTGGACACATTTTTTTCTAGTCACAACCATTTTTTGAACTGTTCAAAAATAAATTTTCATCTGGCATGATTAAAAATTATTTAAACGGAACACACTAAAATTCAAGAATTGGTGCTAAAAAAAAATTTTCCTTTACAGCTATATAACTAAAGAAAGAAAATCTTTTTAAGTCTACAGAAAAGTGGAACCGCGCTTTGATACCAAACTGTAACGCTCCAAATCTACTACATATATTTTTCTTTTTAAAAAAAAAAAAAAATTAGATTCGAAGTGTTACCTAAATCTTTCTTATCTAGTTTATTCAAAATTCAACATTATAATATTGTGATTTGATCGATCAATTTCAAATTCAATAATTTAAACAAGAAATTATACATATAATCAAATCTTAAATATCAACATGGAATATCAAAGTTCGCACACCAAAAAGTACTAAAATAACATGCACGAAAAAATTAACATAAAATTTATTCTTAAAATAATAATTTGCAACAATCATTTCTAAATTTATTATATTATTATTATTTTATTTGGGGATCCCATGAGCATCACTTAGTCAATTTTCCACGTGTCCACACGACCCGTCATAATCTGAAAGATTATAGTAAGAGTGAGTATTTTGAAAACACTCAATAAAAATACGTGCATATTCTTATTTACCTGATATAAATATAAAAATGACATAACATACCAACATTTCTTAAATTTAGAGCAAACTGGTCGCAATATCCAATAACTTAATAAATTTCTTAAGAATTCTCATATCCCATTGAATTTAACATATTTGACCAAATGGTCTATCTCGAAAGATTTAACATAGAAATCGACCCGAAGGCCTTAGAGTATTTCATGCCAAAAATTTATATAAGCATCAAGAAACAAGAATTTAACACTTTGCACTAATGTATTCTTACTTCAATTGATATCAAAAAAAAAAAATTGAAAATATTCTTCGAAACAATAATTAAAACCCGACAAAATGTTTGTAGAAGAATGAAACTCAATTCGTGAAATTTTGAATGTGATTGATGGAATAAAATAGAATAAGTGTGTGTGTTAACGTGTGAAAATCATAAAGGGAAAACACTATTCACATATCATATATGAGCCACATTATTTTGAAAGAAAATATTTTGAAATAGTAGATTGATGGAAAATATGTGGTTGAAAAAGAAAAAAATATTGATGTGATGGAAAATATTATTTTATTGAAGAATGTGTAGTTGAAAATGAGAATTGATTTACTATAAAAAATGAGAATCTGTACCAAACAGGCTCAATAATTATTATCGGCTTCATTTCCAAACNATGTGATAAAAAATATTATTTTACTTAAAAATATTTGATTGAAAATAAGTAGAAGAATGAAAATGAAACGGAACTCAAACGGGGTATATATATCCACTTTGTACCAGTTTAGAATTCCAACCATCCACCCGTTGAGTTTGAAAAATTGAAAAGATTAGTTAATGTATTCTTTATGTCAAATCAATTATGGGAATGTGAAGTGTTGAACTAGTATTAATCCGCTTGTTATTGCGGTGGGCTCCGATTGAGCTCCGGTGGCTGGGGTGGGCTGCTTTATTTCGGTGGCAGAGTGGTTGAGGGTGGCTGGAGTTCGGTTGGCTGGGTTGGCTTTTAATTTTTATAGATATGTCACAACTTTTTTCAATTTATTTTGGTGTAATGGTGTAAGACCACCACTTTCAATGTCATCAAATTTGTTTGTTGATAGTTTCCGGTAGCCGTTGAAGAATTCAAACTTGTCCGGGGTTTTGAGAAAGAATCAGCAAACCTAAAAAATTATCTCAAAAATATCTACGCAATTTTGGAAGATGCTGAGAAGCGCTGAAATCAACGAGGATGTTGTTATCTAAAGGAAGTGGATGTTGTGATTAATGGTTTAAGATCCAGTTTGAAACTATTAAATGAGTATTTTTTTTTTTTAAGGAAAATGAGTTTTAAAATAGTGATTTTAAAATTTTTTTTTTTAATACTATGTTGTTAAAATGTAGGAAAATATTTTGAATTTACACGCAAAACATTTTGTCATAAGCATAAGTTTTTGAAAATGATTTTGAGAAAAAAAAGTATTATTTTAATGATTGTTAAGTATCATAATTCTTTTATTCTTTAATTACTTTATGCTAACGGATGTGGATGCAGTCACTAATGGGTTAAGTATCATAGCTTTTTACTTTTTGCTGTAGTGATTAATGGTTTAAGAATCATAATTTGTTACTTTAAAGTTGAGTAAAGAATTATTTACTTTATGCTAACGGATGTGGATGCAGTCACTAATGGGTTAAGTATCATAGCTCTTTACTTTTTGCTGTAGTGATTAATGGTTTAAGAACCATAATTTGTTACTTTAAAGTTGAGTAAAGAATTTGCTTACCCTTTTTAAACAGAGAAAACAATCATTTACACCACAAACAACTCCTTTGCAATCTTTATCCACCCCTAAGCCACTTTTTCTACCTCCCGAAATCAATCAATCACTCACACCAAATTTCCTAAGCAAGAAAAAATGGAAGCTGTGGCTATTGAAGGCGTAAAATTTATACTGGAGAAGTTGTCTGCTGTAGCTGCTGAAGAAATTAATCTTGTGCGTGGTTTCAAGAACGAACTAGCAAACCTAAAAAAATACTTGAAAAAGGTCAGCCAAGTCTTGGAAGGTGCTGCAAGGCGCGAAATCATCGACGAGGATGTTAAAAGCTGGCTCAAGGACCTCACAGATGTTACATATGATGCCGACAATGTTTTGGACGAGATCAAATATGAAGAATTGCGTCGTACAATAGAGACCCAGG